ACACACACACACCACCAAACTCTTGCGGCAGCGGTCGGTAACGAGACTACGAGTCGGCTAAAACATCCATTGCTTCCTATTTGCGTATCTGACTAACCCACTCTCCAAAGATGGATATTGAAGAGGACATACAGACCTAGACGCGCGGCGAGTACACGATTCTATGTTCAAGCGCAAATGTACGGACGAGCCACTGCAGCTCCTCCGCGTCCCAGTCGTCTTCGACGCCTTCGTCGAACAATCCCATCGCCATATCATCGCATTCTCCGGCCGCGGGGTGTTCGTCGTCTGAAGCGGAGGTTTCGCTGGCGTCCTCGACGTATAGCCCGTGTTTGCGCAGTAGTTATGTTTCGTCCCACCACCCGAACGCTCGCATGAATTCTCGTTGCTTCAGTCTGGCTCAAATTCAACATGTTCTCACTTGTTCACTGCAAGGTACGCGCTTACCGTCAGCCCAATGCCACGAACGCGCTATCGTGAGCAATTGCGCGGCACTGCGCGTCATCCAACTCCCTCATATCTCGTTCCTGCTCCAGGATCCCCAGTACTCGGCGTTGTTCACGGAACCGCGGATGGTCTGACCACACGCGTGGGCCTTTCTGCTCTACGAGCTCCAGTGCTGGGAGTTCTGTGTCTGTCATTCTCGACAATAACTCTTCCAAGTAAGCGGCTTCGACGGATGCCGCGTTGCGGCCAGAACGCGCCAAACTCAAGTGTTGTGCGCGCAGCTCATCCCACAGAGCTCTTTCTGCTAGTCTGCAGACTTTGCCAGCCTCGTCGCGTGGACCCCCTGACCGCCGTGCAATGCGGATGTCGTAGTCTCCAACTAGCATTAGAACCAATGAGCCTCTCGGCACCACTGCGAACGTACTTTAGCTCTCCCTGCAGTACCTGTTCTGACCTGGCAGCTAGCTCCGGCGCCTTTACTTTACCCACTTTGCGTCCGCCTGCACCTTTCGTACGTTTGTGTATAGTACCGCTTGGCGCGCCTTTGGGAGCTGAGCCGCCCTCGGCAACAAAGCAATCGTACCATACTCGGGCCAGTTGCAGACTGCGAATGCATCTTCAGAATCAGTACGCCTTACTTGAGACCGCATACGACTGTGTTTACTCTCCCCGACTGTAAGCAACGATCACGTTCATGTCAAACCGACTGGAGACGGAGGCGCTTGCGCCCTTGTTGAACGGATAGAGATAGCCGCAGAAGGCAAGAAGTGGCCACGTGTCTGACCTTCGCGCCACAGCTAGAGCGGCTCAGCTGGCCGTGCGTTCCCACCCTCTGATTCGTATTGCTTCTGTCTTTGCAGACGGACTGGAGCATGACAACTGAAATCTATAGTCGAAGAACTGCACCAGTGCAGCATCGTCTGCTTGCTCTTTGCCCTCGGTAGCGGATCCCACACGCTGCATTCTGCGAACGTCGCGGTCGGACCCCGACGTCCGGACGTATAAAAGCCTCAGGCCGTCCCACTCGGCGTCCTTTCCAATACTTCCTTGACTTCCCATGACGGTAGGTCAAGTGCGGCCTTGAAGCGCCGTTCCAACACTTACACGCACCACGAGCTCGACACAGACGACGATCCCCCCCCCTCGAGAACTTCCTCACGTCTGGCGGATGTGGTATCGGTAAGTTCCTTAGCCAATCGATAACTGCTACGGGCGACGCAGCTCATTATACACACACAAAGATACACCGGATGACAACTTGGGCGCAGCCAATGAGCGATGGTCTTCTACGCGCCTCCCATCCTTGTACGTCTCTCTTGTAGCCGTTGTATGCCGGTACTCACGCTTGCCGCGATGGTGGCCTTAGTATTTTATCGTGCATCACGTATCTCTGGAATCAGGGCTTTACTACGGTATCCTCAGTCTTGCGCCGTCACATCGCTGATCCGTACATTGTGCCGAAGTTCAACCCGTACGCTCACAAGGTCTACATGGCGCAATATCAACGGTACAACCTAGGGTTCTTGCAGGACATCCCCCCTTCCGACGGCGAGAGTTGTGAGCGGTTTTGGAGCGATAGCGAGAGTGCCATGAGAGCGTGTAACAGTCAAATCAGGGAGGTGGGCGCTGTGAATGAACAATCGTGATTGAGCGCTGTGGAGCGAATACATGTCGCTAGTTACAGTCAACATATAAATAGTTTCTACCGTTCGATATCCCCACACCTGCACCGAGCGTCTTACAGAGTAACTATATGGGCGCGTTAGAACGTAGTTAGCAGCACAAATCCTGGAACGCCGCGGGTAAAGAAGACGGTGACGCGTATAGCACCAAGAGGGTCGAGTACAGGGAAATCCTTTGCTGGCAGACGCGGGAGCCGAGCGCTACTCCATCTCCGAGTGGGAGGAAGGGTCTGATGGGGACTCCCCAGCGTCAAAGTCTCACGCCTCGGAGCGACGCCGGCAGAACGGCAGCGTGGGTTGCGCTTCGGGTCGGGCGTTATATAAGTTCTAAGGGAGGTCTGCGCTGATGACATAAGATAACGACGCGCTTCCGGAAAGTTCCGGAACCTCTCAGACCCAACTTCCTTCTCAGCTCTCCTCTGAAGCTAGCCCATCCGAAACGCCTGGATGTTCTCCGGGCTACTTCCCACCAGATGCATTTGTGACGGGAAATGTGGCCGGTGGTGCGGTGGACAGCGCGGTGAAGGCCGCTGTCGGCGTATTGAAGCGCGCGACGGGCGTGGTGAGGGTTGGTGTAAAACGAAAGTGTGCGTTTACGCTGACATATTGTGCGCAGTTACACTCTATCGTGGGATGACTGCAGAGCAATAAGAGGGAGGTGGCACTTTGGAGACTGTGCGACACGACGCTCTCCCGCCCGACGACACAAAATGCGTACATTGCCGCTTTGTGCACGGCCGCGAAGAGACAGTCGCGGGGAAAGTGGAGTTCAGGTGCATCGAATGCGACGGCGGCGTTGCTTGGTTTTGTGCAGCTTGCATAGAACCGGTTCATCGTTATGCGCGCCTACACGACATAGAGGTGAGCTGTCCCTTATCGTATATAGGAGTGCTTCGGTTGACGACGACGGCGTAGCGCGCAGGACCGCTCTTCTGGGAGCAGTGCGAGACAAGAACACGTTGGCTATCGACATACGCCTTATGCACGAGACCGGTCGCAAGTGTGTGGCGCCCAAGACCGTGAAGGACTTCGACGTTATGCACCACAACGGGACACACCGCATGAACGTGCACTTCTGCCGATGTTCGCGCGGTGTGCTAATCGATAACTACACTCAGCTACTGCGCCATCGGCTCTGGCCAGCGACGAACAAGGAGCCGACGACTGTGACGACGGTTTCCTCGTTGGATCAGTTCTCCAGGTTGGTCATGCTCGGACGCTTGACCGGCTAACGACTCTTATCAGGCGATGTGCGCAGCCACAGACGCCATGGGTACACTCAAACCGCCTGTATGTACCGAGCTGTTCCCTTGCAGACTATCTACTGACGCCTTGTGCGGTCTTTGTTGAAACAGTTCATGCGTAGCGCGAGGCAGTTCCGCCACGTACATATGTACAAGAGAGCTGGACGGGCGCACGACTCGGGGGGTATTGCTAGCACTCCCGAGGGCGGCGCCGCAATGGAGTGCCCGGCCTGCCCACGACCCGATTGGCATATACCGGACTCGTGGATCTCCAGTCCGCTTGAGTACGTCCCAAGAAACTCGCCCCTACTACCGCGCTGACGGATTCGCGGTTGCAGATGGTTGTATCAGCGTTACCTTGCCATAGACGCTAACTTCCGCCTATCGAACCGATTCTCCCGTTCTACCGAGAAGAGCGATCCTTGTTTGAATGATGGACGAGCCTACATGATTTCCGCGGTGCAGTTCGAGGCGTATTTGAAGGAGCTCGACAAGGACAAGGACGGCAACGATATTGAGCAGGTGGGTGCGCATTTTGGCGAGAAAGGTCTTCAGCGCTAACAGTCCCGAGACAGCCCGTCGGCTGTTCCAGGTGTGACGCCATCACTGAGGTTAACCAGAAAGAGGGCCGAGGCCTCAGGACGACAGGCGTTGCTGGGTGCTTTTGTGCACGCCACGATTTCTGGATGCCGTGCGGCTGTGGCTGGCTGACAAAGGGCGAACGGTGCGTCATTCTGGGCGCCGTTGCTCAGTATAGGTCGCTGACACTCCGCCCAGGTACAGCGTCGTGGATTATATAGTTTGTCGGGTACATGCGTGGATCGGCGTGCAAAGGGTAGTGTATTCTTACGGCATCGCCTGCTAATGGGACCTCAACTTTACGCGGCGTCTCCGGAAGATCAACCCGATATTCTCGGTTCTATTCGACGCAGCGCAGGTCGTACTTGAGAAGACGAGGACGTTCGTCGTCCCGAATTTCCACCTATATGCGCATAAATTCTGGTGCTTCTGTCGGCACAACTTCTTGTACACGCCGGGCGTCGCGCAGACGGATGGAGAGGGTTGCGAGCGGGTCTGGGCGGGAACGAACGGCGCTCAGGGAAGCATACGCGAGTCGGGCGTTGGCGCTTGGCGCGACATGATGGACGACATCTGCCAGGCCTGGAATCAAAAGAAAGCCTGCGGTTTGGGTACGTTTGTGAGGCGCATGAGCGTTCTTGAATTCATGCTGATTTTCGGCACGCAGGTACAATGATTACGAAGAGCATAAAAGAGGCGCTTCAATAGGCGTACATGCACTGCAAGATATACTCGATCTCACAGCGCTCGTCATCAATGACACCCACGACAAATACAAGAAGTTCTCGAAAAGGCTGGAGAGGTGGGACGCCGATGGCCAGAAGGGAAAGGACTGCCCTTACGAGCATACGTTACCTAGTACGTACGCAAATTTGGATGTACACTCAGTGTTCTGACTGTCCCTTGTAATGTAGCGCTCCCCGAGCTTACTCGGAGGGCCGAATCCGAGGTTGACCTGGTCACCGCGCCGAAAAGGGCGCAGCGAAGCGAAGAGATCTTGCTGGCTCCCCACACGAGCGCATCCGCGATATCGCCTGCTACGGGAACGCTGGCGGATAAAGATCCAGTACAGGCTGAGGGCGCAGGCGCATCTGCAGACTTGGCGCAGGGCATGGGCGCAGGGGGTGTAGGCGCCACGAGCGGCGAGACGGCGACGGCGTCGACGTGGGCCCGTGAACCTCACGACAGAAGGTTGTCGTTTGAGCGAGAGGCGCTTCTGCAAGAACTGGCAGACGTCGAGGCGAATGAGGAGCGGGTGAAGTGGCTGATGCTGGGGATGAAGCTTGAGGATGACAGGTACGAAAGGGTAGGATCTGGCCTTACGCGTGCGCTGACGCGAGCCTACAGACAACGTCTCAAGAGCGACGCGCCGAACGACAGTCCCGACGTCAAGGCCAGCCGGGAGGACGCGCTCTACGAAGCTCTTTTGCGCTTTCGGAAGGAGCAAGATCGTCATATGCCCGGCTTCTTGGTGACATTACCGACAGAGTGGCGCGACCCGCGAGAGGAGGATGCCACCAAGACGCCGCTATCGATGCTGAGACGTGGCAGATGGGTGGAGAAACTCGGCGCTCTGTCCATCTGGGAGATGCGCGTGCGGCTAGCGAACATGGATGGCTTGTTGGACGAACTCCGGCTGTCGCTGCGACTACGGGTCGCGTTGAACAAGCAAGGCGCGTTATTGGTCGATGGGAGATGGGTCGTGAGCGACGATGCAGGTGGTCGTTATTGCGGCGACGTGGGAGGTAGGCCGTATAGTCGCGGCAGAGGGAAGACGCGGTCACCCTGCACGTCACCGGCCACGCTCTTTGCGTCCATGGGATTCCTCATGCACTGTACTTCAGAACGATGAGGCCTATCTCTTGTAGTATCCACTCACTCCACCTTTCACAGCGGGCTGACACCTCAATATATCTCTGCAAACACCCGGCGAGTGAACGTATGGCGCGCATGGCTGCCTCGGTATGATAGGTCGCTGAGAAGTTCGCGCGAAGCAATGCGCATTTGTGTCAATGAGTATGATGCATCATATTACTGATGCCCACTCTAAGGTGAATCTCGACTGTTTCGGTGTTAACTACCTACGCGTCACGTCACACGAGAGGGGAATGCATTATACGAGGACGAGCATACATGACGACTGTCTGAGGTGCCCATGACCTTAGGGTCCATGCACGCATCTACAACTTTGCGGCGACGTTCCCCTTCGGACTTGATGGGCCGTCCATTGCGCAGACTCCCCGCCAACTCCAATCCCCGCAGATATCCTCCACGGTATCGTACATCGTCCCAGGGCCCATCTCACGCAAGCCCGGGTGCGCACCGTTCGCCCCCACCCAGTGGCGTTGCGACCCTTCACCATCCGCCGCACCAGTTCCCACTATTCTGAGAGCATAACTGGTAGACGCATTTCTCCCCCACGAGCATGATACGTCATACCTCAGCGGCATACCGACAGGACCAAAGATAGAGGTACTGTGGTGCTCATCACAGATGGTATCCATCTTCCTGGACATGAGCGGCGCAGCGTTCGTTTTATCAGACATGATTTTGGCGCTCTCATCCGCCTTGTCGATTGTGCCACCGCGTGAACTTCGCTGAAGGCCTTCGCAACTATTGAGGCGCCATTGTTCGAGGCGGTGTGCTCGACGCTCAGCCATGTCAAACTCGCCGGCAAGATGGCGGAGGCGTGCCTCGAGATCGGGACTGGTACACTCTTGATCCTTATCTGCAGGTTCAAGTTAGTATGGTGCGTGACACCCGTCCAGGCATAGATTCACCTTTGCCGTCATTCTTGGTGTACGCGGCCTCGGTGCAGCCACAAAACTCGTGATCTGAAGTACATGTCAGCATATACAACAAAGCACAGTGCTCGCGAGTCTCTTACTAGATTCCGACACTGTCTCTAGGCTCGGCAAGGAGTCGCAGTCGTCTGAGACGCCGTCGCGCTGATGCTTGTGTTGACGTGGCATGATATCGTGCAGTCCTGAGAGCGTAGACTTTCTCCACCGTGTCAGCTCTTATATATGCCCTGCAAAGACACCCGTCGGATGCGGGCACTCGCGGCGGCTGCGCGGGTACGGCACCGTCCGCGGGGAGATTTTTCCTCAATTACTGAAAGAGCCATATTGGTCATATGCAGAGCGTAAGTCTGAACATGATCCAGTCCTGTCTATGGCATCCCATTCATCGCTCTTCATGCATGAAGCAGTGAACGTAAATAGCACGCACTCGAGGCGTAGCTTCAGCTCCGGTAGTAGATCCTCGATACCCCATTAGTCTTTTATCCTGGATGCTTCTGGATGGTCATGAAGGCCGTCGGGTTCTCATCTGATGCATCGGACTTGTCTCGTTTGTCGTCGGAACGGCTTGACAGTGACAATACAACATACCTCCGACATACCTCCGACATGATCCTACGCCATTTTTTGGGGGGGGCTAGGCATATCGCGGGAAAAGCGCCATTACTCATCGCGTCGCGGCCTATCTTCCTCTGCCTTCAACCCACACCATGGAAGTAGATTCGCACGAAGCTGCAGACATACAACTCGCAGAAGATAGTCAAGCCACTTGGCTCTTTGCTGTACGTATCACTAGTACTGCTTCAATTTGAGATATACTAATTCTGTGAAGATGAGAGCGGTATTAAAGGATTTGCGAGCGCAGCGTCCGGCGACGAAGCATCCCGATGATACCCAGATCATCTCTCTCGCTATCATGCCACCTGAGCTGCATAGTCTTCCCAATGCCAATAGCACAAGCAAGCACCTTCGTAATCTTTTGGTAATAGTTCTAATGCTACCTGTGTCTTTTCAACACGCTTACAGTATTCCCGACAGCAACGCCGCCTCACTGCGAAATCAGCCTTCGAAGCAAGAATTGAGGTCGCTGAGGAAAGACGGTTTGAGCGCCAGGACATTGAGCATCTGAGTCGTATGCGCGCACGCACAGATGGCTTTCGCGAACCCTGTGAAGGAGAAGTAGATGAGCATTGCCTTACTGAGCGAAAGCTCAAGGCGATACATTCAGACGCCGTTTACTCGCTTATCACGGAGCGCTTGGCACTATACCACAGCCAAGAGGCACGCTTAAAGCAAGCAGAGAAACAAATTCGATTGTACAATCAGTATACCAAATAATTTGTATATGTGACATGGCCTAAAGATACCACTCTACGTAGTCCTCTCCTTCCGTCATGTGAACAAGCAATACACTTGTGGCACCCCGCATGGTACCATGTCTTGAAAAATGTTATGCAGACGCGATTTACGAGCCATAATACCAGAAGCAACCAGGTAGTGAGCAAATTCGCAACGAGGTAACTCGTTCCGACGTAAGATGGACTCGTTCCGATGGGACAACTCCATGTTCCGATGAGTGATTCGAGTCACCCGATGCACCATCACCAATGTTCCGACGTCGTTCCGATTCACATCCTTGTCATTCCGATTAACCTTCATGCCGATTGACATCTACGCCATTCCGACGCATGATTCGGGCTTCCGAGGCGTCTGGGTGGTAGGTGCTCGCAAGCATGAGTTATGCCTGGATTATACGCTACGCTGAGTCTGAAGGTATACGTGAGATAGTCGTTACATCGCTTAAAGAAGTGCCAGTATGAGGACATCCTCCGATTTACTCACATTTCAAGACTGCGTCGGTTGCGGGTTGTATCAGCGATATTGCCCGAGCCCTATAAAGGGTGGCCTGTGTTTCATACAAAACAATCGATTTCTCTTGAATCATGCCCTCACCGACTGCAGGCAATAAGCGCAAACGCCGCTCGTCTTCTTCTAGCGAAGAGCCTCCTACACGCCGACGGTGTTTTATATTCAAATACTTCAGGGTCAAACGACAGCGCCAATTTTTACTCGCTTATGTTCCTATGCGCCAGGAAGCGCGGAAGCAGGACTGGGATGTTGCAAATGCCATAGACTGGACCGTGTGCGACGAGTTTTCCAAGACTTTCCCCAGTGCTATCACTCGTGCCGGGAAAAAGTCTGGCTATTGGGGCACTCCTACTGCCACAGCCGAGTTTTGTCGCGCTGAGCTAAAACTTGTGAGCCACTTCTCATGTAATGTTTAGCACTGCTAAGGGATTCAACAGCGCATCAGCCATTTCATGATTGAAAACCTCTACACAACAGTCGATGAGTTAGAGAAGGAGGGTGTTTGGGTATATCACGCGGGTGGTCGGGTATTGAAAGATGCATGAATCAGGTGCGTACGTCCTTGAGCGCCTCACCTATAAACTCTTTTGACTCGGGCTTAAGTTTTCAGACCCGGGGCCTTTGCACTATCATCCTCACGTATATAATATGGTCAACCGTCTGCGGAAAGTATGAGTCCAAATGTGAGACAGATGCACCGTTCGGGTCGTAGCACGCCTCATGTCGTAGCGTAGTTGCCATAGAAACACCACCGAGACGTGCATAGAGCCTTCGGTCTGCTTGCCGCCCGGCCCCCTCTCCATCAGATGAGCAAATTGGTCGCGGCCGCGCAGGGCATCGGATTCCCTCTCGCTCGTTCTGCCGCCATCTGCTTCTGCGCTATGGATGCCTATACGACTGTATCAGGATCTGGCTTGGAACGCTGGCCGACTGTAGAACAATCCGACGTACTAGGCTGGTTCCGGAGTCTATTGAGCCCCCCAAGGCGCCGCAACGTCTCCGACGTTCTGAGGGATGCGGGACTCTGGACCGATGTCATGGAGGCGCGGGTCGACAGCATGGCTATTGCGTCGGCGAACGAGACGCGTGTAATTCCCCGCGACAACCTGGCGGACCTTGTTGCGACGGAATATCTTCAGGCGTCGAGTGCAGGTGTGCGTCGCAAGGTCGAGAACAAGCGGGAGAATCTATACCAGGCGGACCTAGAGAATTGGCGAAGTAAGTTACTTGAGGAGCACGCGAGCGCAGACGACGCTGAACAGTACGTCGTCATTGCAATGCAAGACGTACCGAGTTGACTATAACCCAGGTTTACGACGGAGGTGAACGCAGTGCTCTCGATGATGGCCGGTTACGTAGCAGAAAAGTGCTCGGGCATGTGCGTTTGGTACACAGCAGGCCCGCAAGGCATTCATCAGTGAGGTTCGCATGTGTCAGTACACAGACACGCACTCATCGCTGGGCCTGCAGCGCCGAAGGGGTATTCAGTTTGCCTGGGCGGACGACCATGCGTTTTAGCGAGACGAAGTCGATGGATTTCTGGAGCACCGCGATGCAGATCCAGAATCACTCTATACTGCTCAACGGTAAGCAGCGACCTTTGTCAACATGCGCATGCCACACTTACCGGCTCGTAGAGTACAAATGGGGCAACGCGAAGGATGGCAAACCGGCCGACGAGCCAGCGTCGGACGACGGCCTCGACGTTCCCATGGTCGTGGACGAGGTCGACTTCACGGAGAGTGATTCCGAGGACTACGAAAGCGAAGATGAGGTAGGGGACGCGGTGGCGAGTGATGGCGGCGAGGACGACTCGATGCAACTAGGCGAAGTGCCTCCCA